GTCGCGGTGGTATTCCGTCATAACCACAGGATTTACGGGAGTTGATTTTGAGTAACAAAGCTTCCACTTGGGTTTTATTAGTATATTGAAAAGCAAAATTGGTTAAGTCGTTAGAACCCAACTCCAAGACTATAATGTCAGGACTTAGACGGCGAATTATGCCTAAATAAAACTTCCGAACCTTCGCAATTGTGCGGTCACCTACACCATGAAAACGTATGGACCCTAAAAACCCAGCAAGGCGACGAATAAAGGAGTGTCCCAAGATTAAAATCTGAGGTGGCGCCATGTACCCAACAACAATAAGACGAAAAGAAAAAACAGGACAAAATGATGAAACTTGCGTGATAAACTGGGAACAAAAATGAGTTGTGATAGATTTTCACTTTCGCTGAGATGTGCTCGCTGAGCTTGTTCGCAGAAAAAGGGGAAGAACTTACTTGTCGCAGCCTTTACATAGCTGATGTCTCTCCACGTGACAAATAAAAGACCGTGTAATAGACCGCAGAGGCCACCCAGAGAACTGCTTATCGCAATGCCGCTCCTTAGCTGTTATCTACTGATAAGCTTATCTTTGGTCCCAACATAAAAACCATTATGTTCCTTCCGTTACATAATGCTGGCCTTTTTCTAAGAAGTTTAAATTTAACCATCATTGTTCAATACCATTGAATATGGAAAACATTTATTGAGATAACTTGAGGCTTGCTGTTTCTCTGGTGAAGATTAAGAAATAATCCATGTGTTCAGGACAGTGTGAGCACATTTATTATCAAAGTAAAGACAGTTTATGTACTCAGTTGGTTACTTGAGGATGATAGAGAAAACGTGATGCTGTGTGACAATAAATTGAAGAGTTTTGGTATTTAAGTTAATTTTGATTATTAACTTAAATTTGATGTTTCAGTAGTTCATGATTAATAATGTTACATTCAGAAGTATTTTTGAAGGTTTATGTCTAAATATAATTTAATGTGCGAATAGGACCTAGATTTCTTTTGTTAATTTTATTTTTTTTAGGTTTAAAATTGGCATGTTCAGGAGATAAAGTTTATTGCCATTAATCATTACTCTTTGATTGTGTATTAAAAACTTAAAGCCTGTTATCTTGAAGTAAATTGCCGCTTCATTGAAATATAGTTACGAGGCATATCTTAATTCACGGGCAGGGCTTTGGTTGTTGGCTTTTGACAGGAGTTGTTTTGGAAGTGCCCTCAATAGCCATTTTGAAAGAGTTGCAATCTTATTCACAGTACAAATGCGTGGTAGGTGGCAATCAGGGGAATCCCCTTTCAAGTAAGGAGGAGTATATTTGACTTTTGAGAGATTAAGGGTAATTTGAAAAAAAGAACGTGAGGGGAAAAAATTGTGCAATACATGTGTATGCAATACAATGCCTTTGTGTGTCAAGACAAAATCATTTAAGTAGCAAAGGCTAACAATAAAAAAAAAATAGTATGCAGACAAAATCATCCATGGTCCCCTAAAGAGCGAAATGGTGCGCACCATAACAATGCGTCAATATAAATGTGAAGATATCTCCCCAGAGGGTACTAAACATTTCAAGTAACAGGAATTATCAAATGGGGGCAAAAAGAAAACCCAACAAAATCAATAGGGTTTCCAAGAAAACCAAAAAACATCACTGGATGAAAAATTAACCGCAAGAAAACCTGATGCTGAATTTCAAAGCACTTAAAATTTCCAGAAGGCAAATTGGTTGTACTTTAAGTGAAGAAGCACCCTTTAGGATATGTTGGAAATACTACAAATGTGCAGATTGTTTTCAATATCCACAGTAAAACCTACGTCAATCAAGCCACCCAAGAAATACTCGCCAAATTTTCCTTCTTTCCAAAAATCAAGGAATCTAAAACTTTAAACCCCAAAGAAGTTCTTTGATAATCCCCATCAACTGAAATTCAAGGAATTTCCTGCGGATATCTCCAGCCAAAAAATATGAGGGCATTTTTAACAATCAGAGGTAGTTTTAGTCTCCCTCACAGCTTTTTTCTCTTGTCATGCAACACTCCTCTTGAGACAAAAACAGCTATAAGAGAGACTAAGGTAGTTTTGATTACTGTTAAATATGTAACAAATGGCAAAGTTACAGTAAACACCGTCTTCCCTTTAATCAATTACTACTGAGTGAATGAATGAGGTTAAACTATATCTAGCTGAATTTGTAAAAACCGCACCAGCTGGGATTCTACAATCGCGGACAAAAGTCCTT